CACACTGTGTTAGCTCGGACTCCAGCATCGGCAGTTCCTACTGTCTCTACTCTAAAGCAGTGTTGCCCAATACATTATTCATACTGTAGCAAATTGGAAATACAGATTTGCTGAATTGCATTCTTGATTCATAAATTAAAATTTAATTGACACCATACCAGTATTCTGTAGAGATGCGTACAATGCTTTTTTGTACTATTTGATAAAATTATAAGATAAAAAGTAAAATTTACACAACATTTTTGATTATTGTGAATAATTTAATTCCTCAATTACTGCATGGTGGTAGATTTTTAAGTAAATGCCCAGGTGACATATATCCACCTATACTGTAGGCATTCTTTACAAAAAAATGGCAGCATCTGAAAACCCAGGTTATGCATTCAGAGGTTTTTCAAACTTGATCCCATGTGATTCATAGTATACTAGATAGATCACTACTTTTATATCATTCTTGCTTTTACAAACCAGAGTGTTGATCTCATTATATTTAGTTTGCATATTTGATTGCCAACATTGGAAATGCCAATTACTTTCTCTTCCTATTGGGAAACATTTTCCGTGTAAAATTTTGTCAGCCACACCAGGAGAAACCAGGCCAATTAAAATGTCCCTGCATAAACGCATTCTGTGCTTCCCTATAAACAAATTAGACAATTTACTAAGCAAGTGATGGCTTAGCACATCTAGCTTTGGAGAATGTACTCGGGCAGCCCAGTCCACTAATGTAACATTTTATATTTTGGAAGACCAGTATTTAGATGTATGGCATTGAACCAAAATTCTTAACAACGCATACATGGACAAACTTAAAATTTTGAAATCAACACTTAAATCAACTTCAGCTCAGTGGAAGAGTTATTTCCTGCTTGGCCTGGTTTTATTTTGACCAATGAAAAGTGTTACATCCTCTCCAAAAAAATCATTAAAGACGTCTCAAATTGCCATAAGAGACAACAGCAAAGTTTTAAAGAAAACACTTCTGATTGCGTTTTCTGCATAACAGTATGACTCTAACACAGACTAAACTTTTTTTTGAGCTTCACCTTATCTCCTACTTTTGAAGTTTGCCCATGTTATTTACATCCCTTTTGTAAATACAGTTTGTTATTCAATCTGGTTGCATCATTGACAGCTGACAATCATGAGCATTTATAGAACAGTGCAGAATTAATCAGAACAAAACGGGAGTACACTTATTCTGTTTGGTGTATCTAAATCACTGTGACTATCTGTCTGAATTTAGAGAAGAGGCATCTTTCATACTATCCTTGTATTAGCTTCAGCATGTTTTGGAAGAACGATTGCCAATTTTTAAAAAATGAATCCAATTTTTTTTAATTCATACTTAAAATCTCAGTAGGCCTTCCAACATTTACTTGCATTCCCCTTTAATTTGAAGAACGTTAGTCCTTTAGTGGCTCATCATGATATATGAATACAACTATAAATAAAATTACAAAAAGTACATCTTAATACATACATGGAGGTGAATTTCTGCAAGGACTCTCTTAGTTAATCACTAGAGCAATTAGTAGTTGACAGTGAAAGACAGACCATTCAAATTCCTTCTCCTGCAGAAATTCATCCTTCCATATCTCACATGGTTAATATACCATTGGCAAACAGAGTTTTTACAACCTGAATTGGTTCTGGGATGTAACTGTTCCATAAGAAGTTGTCAGTGGCTATGGGCCATGATGTAATTTCAGTCACGCTGTCACCATCCTGCGCAAAATCAGTCACTGCTGTATAGTAAACAGATGATCGGGAACATGCACCTTGATTGCAAGGTGCTTGGAGTAGGTCCACATGACATGAAGAAAGGACAAGATTTGACCCTGAATATCCAACATTTTGTACATCTAGGTATGAATGAGAATTAAATTAAACATTTTATGAGACGTGTTTTCCAGTTTTGTTTGCATTATAAGTGAAACATGCAGAGAAATCTCTATGTTTGGAGGAAATGGTCTTGTATTGGTGAAGATGTGAACTAGCTGCACTGGAAGGACGGACATTACAAATCAAAGTTTGATAATAGGTCTAGAACATTATGGCCTCAAAACCCCTAATAATTTACTTCAGCAGATAAAATGTATAAATGAGCACCAGTTATCCTAAGGAAATATCAGCTTACAAAGTTGATTTTTATCTCAGGGTGAGAATGGAGCAGGCAGGAGGGCAGAAATTTGCCATCCATATAGTTTAGCAGCTAAGTTAGAGGGGTCTATACTGGGAGATTTCGCTGAACAAAATTACACAGGAGCAACAGCAGGGAGATTCAACAGCCCAGCAATTTTAGTCTGCAGCGAGTCTGCATTCTACTTCTGTTTGCCAGCCAATAGAAGGCTGAAGGCTGTCCACTTCCCTTTCTCAGTGCATTTGAATGTCTGTTAGGCTGTGTAGAGGGCACCAGTTCTAACTTGTATGGGTCATTTGGAATGAAGCAAAATTAAAGCAGTCAACCATGGTATATGTGGAGACCAGCCACTCTCATAGCACCAGACTATAATACCTCTTCATAATACAGCCTTTGGTGGCAGCTCTGACAGCTTTAATGACAACTACTGGCACTCAATTCTGGATTTCAATCTCTCCTCCAGTTTCCACAGATGATAGAAAATAAATTTAGGGACTTACCATCTGTCACGCTCTGTTTGGAAACAATTATTAGAAAGAGAAATAGAATTCAAAAACAAACCAAATCAAGGTGCATCATAGGAAATCTACAAAATATCCTCTCCCAGGATGACAACATGTCCATTCCCCCATCAGCCTGTCAAACAGTGTAATGTTGAAACTAGGCAACAAATTGAAGCATACACTAGATGGCTGTGATCCAATCAACAGACAGTGAACCCCAAGGCAAAAGCTTTTCAAGGTTAAACATCTCAAGCGCTTTGAGTGTATAACCAGCAGGCTTTGGCATCCAAGTTGTAGCTGCTGGAGTAATACCTTGTCGTGGCATCAATTGTTGGACATTGTGGAGAATTAATGAGTAACAAATGAACTGACCTGTATAATCATAACCAGTCATGCTGCAACAGGGTATGAAGGTAAATAAGAAAACTATGAGGAGATGATCCTACAAGGCGATAGAGCTAATGTTGCCCTAGTCACCTAAGTGAATAATGTAAAACATTAGTGGTGACATGGGCTAGATGGATTTCTAAGTTAGCTAGTTGACAATAAAGTGTTCTTGACATGATCAGAGAACAGAGAATTAATGTGGTCTTATCTGCACACTGTATATTTAACTAGGCAAATTGGAGTGCACATAGGAGGATGGTCAAGTTTGCTGGAGAGCCAGAAAGGGAGAAGACCCTGAAGCTATTGTTAAGTGACATAAACATGATCCTCCATATTATTTATGAATAAAGCCTGTTGTGCATACTACACTATAATGCAACGATACACAAAATATGAACAAAGTGTAGAAGGAAGGAGACTAACTAACAGTTGATTCACCAGAATGGTAACATAGCATGCAAATCAGACTCTGGAGGTTTGGAAAAGGGTGCCATTTACTTTGACAACTTGCTTTTACACAACTGAAAAATGAAGTGTCTCAGACTTGATAGTTGCCCAAATTCTTTAATTAGCGTTTATGTGACAATAGCCAGTGAAGTGATACCAGTCCTCATACAGGTATTCAAGGTAAGGATATTGGAGTGTATAAAGATTATGTATGATGGTTGGATGAAGTCTCAATCTAGAGAGGAAGATGGTGCCATAGTGGTCATGTGATTGGATTAGTGAACCAGAGGCCAACCTAATGTTCACTATAGTTTGAGGAATTTAAATTCAAATCAATTACATGTGGAATTGAAGGAAAGTTTCATGGTCATTACTGAGATTATCTTTGACTGTAACAAATATCCATGTGGCTCATTAGTCTGCTTTAGGGAAGGAAATTTGCATTCTTATTCAGTCTGCTTGAAATTTTTTTTATAAACACACTATTTGTGATATAGCTGCAAGTTCATGGATGGAGTCAATTATTCTCTACACCAGAGGGAAACCTGTGATGCCAATGAAGCCCAAAACTTTGTGTTCCTGCTTTGCTGCCTCCGTGAGAAAATGTTGCATTAAATAACATTAGTGGAACCTGCATTTAGTACCTGCTTAACGCAAAAATAAAGTATGGCTTGACTGGCATTGGTTGATGCCACCTGTAATGACCCAGTTGTGTTGAAATTCAGAGCCATGGACATCTTCAGTGCTACAAACATGAAAGGTACAACCTATTCCTGAGTTATAGTTGGTGCTACAGCATTGGCACTGACTCCCTCATAAAGCAGAGCTGGCAAGACACATTGTTCTTTCAGTTAATTATGGAGCAAAGTTTTGTTCTCATATAAGCATATTACATCAGGCCTCCAGTGCCTCTTTTTCCATGTCATCTTCCTCTGGAAGATGTAAGTCTCTGTCCACTGTTTCGTTTTCTTCCACCTTATCCTCCAATAATATGAGGCAGCACATCTGTGCTGCCTGAGACATTTACACACCATGGGTAGAAATCATGCTGCAGCTCCCATATTTGAACTCAGCTGGAGCAGTCAATGCTGCCAAAACTGTACTTAGAAACTCCCTAGCAATCTAAAATGACTAACTTGAGACTAAGCCGAATGCAGCTGAGGGTCTTTTAAGTAAAATTTGTACAGTGTCCTTCCTGACTGCTGCTACCAAGGATTTGAAGGTGAGTTTTAGAATTAGTGAACATTGCACTCCATCTGCTCAGATCACTTGCTCCAAGAAATCGATACAGTAGTCTGTGTCGCATTTGGCTTGGAACATGACATGACAGAGAATGTTTTTAACCAGGCACTGGATCATAATTCTTATACATGCATTTGATTCTCCTTTCAAGCTGGCCAAATAGCCCATGAGAAAGATTTTCAGCACAATTTGGGTAAAGTAATTTTGTGAATTAATTTTGTGAAAATTCTGAAACTGAGAAATAAGAGTCGACTGAAATTGCTTACCTTGATTAGCTGTGTTCAGTATAATTGTGAGTTTACATTCATCTTTAGTCTGACTGGATTCAGAGCAAGGGATTGGTACTGTACTCTCAATCACCAGTTTGTGTTGCTTTCCATCCTCTGCCACAGTTAAAGCCTCTGGGTGAATCTGCCAATTCATATTACTTGAGTATTAAAGACAGGCCAGAATAATTACACACCACATGCATGCCTGAAAAGTAACATCTTTGTGTCACCAGATTTTGAACCTGATATTTTCTGTTGAAATTAAAATTCAATGTGCACACTGGGAGTTCTATAAATGCAATACATGGGTTGTTAATGTGAAAACATTCATTTAGAGCAGACAGTTACAGATAGATACACAATAATAAAAAATAGTCCAATTAAAAGAACAATGTTAGAGGTATCAAGATTAGAAATTAAGTCTTTTGGGTAGAGTTATTTAAAAGCACAAAAGTCAACTTTATTAATATGTGAGCTGTAAAAACATTTGTGTTGCAAAAGCCGCAGCTTCAAACTGCATGGTTGTTGGCATGGAGATTTCTTGCATTCTTGGTATTTCTTGCCTACAAGATGTGCATTGAGGTGTAATTCATCACATTTTGCTGTGGCATTTTTATGTTGAATTTCACTTTTGAGTACGCTGGAGATGTGAAGAATGGACACCATGAAGAACATGGACACGGTTTTATAGCTATACAAATGCAGGCTACTAAGTGAGGATACATCACATAAAATTGAGTGGTACCTTAATTTACCAGAAGATGGAGGCAGTGAGGTCATGGACCTTAAAAGCTGAGCAGGGGTCCATGCTGTTCAGGCATTCTAAGCTTTGGAAGCCTACTCATCATGGAACTCTACCCCAGACGACTTGTTTCCTCCCTGTCTGCAAAACCGATCCTGTACTCTTGCTTGCTGGGGCCTACCGGACTAGCACCAGTGGAAGATCTAAATTCACCCGACAAACAGGCAATTGTCATTGCCGGTTTCCTGTAGTCTCAGCAGTGGACACCACTTCCATAGGCATTGCTGGGACATGACATTTTTCAATAACTGGATAGCTGGCACCTCTTGGAGGCGTGACCTCTTCATCGATGGGGACAAATGTCTCTTCCTGAGACCCAATGGTCAGAAATCTGTGTTGGGGCAACCAGGTCAACCTGACATTTTAACCAGTGCATGGGACTACTCTCTTGCTCTCAAATTCAGATCCAAATTTTAAATGGGATTTGCTATACGAACATTAACACACAGTAACAAGTAGCAAAGCAAAATACTGGAAATTTGAAAACAGAACTGGTTAGAAATACCCAATAGGTTTGGCAGCAGAGTAGTTTTGCCTAGTTTTCAAATTTTCCTATTCTGTCAGGGACATGTGCCATCGCCACACAGGAGCCACATGTAAATCCTGAGATGTATTGCAACCAAAGAAGATACCAGTCCCTTAAAGTCCGCTGATATGTGACCAAACCCTGCGCATCGTGAAGTTCAATGTCTGTATTATGGCATCAGTCATGATGCCTTCTGTGGCAATGGTTGGACTACAAAGACAATCCAGCAACCACAAAGCTCATGATCCTAGAGTGTAACCCACACATACATAGGCAGCATGCCTGTAATAGGAACCACATTACAGTGTTAAATGTGATCAAGCAGACTATCGAAGTCCATAAATGTTATGTCTGCTGCAGCATAATTTTTGAGAGCTCTGCAATTTTTGCCAAAGTGCACGCCAAGATTTGGCATAGTGTGCTGCAGGCTGTAAATCTTTGCGTCATGAAGGCACAGCCCTTTCCTTCTGGTATGCAGAAAGCAGCACAGAAAAAGAAAGCGAGGAGACAATCAACATATTCTCTTTTTGTTCAGGCTGAGCAGAATCAAGTGATCCCAATTTCGTCTTCACTAACAGTTCCGCAACATTCATTTTCTCTAGTACTGACCATCATGATTTCCTGTTGGTCACAATGCTGAAAAAAAGCCACCACAAAACAAACTTCCAAACTGACCGTATGCAACATTGCATACAAATATCAACCAATCATTCTTGTGTACTCTCTATGTTTGTCCTCTATGAGTCTTTGCCTGTCCTGGTGCCCCTGAATGGCACCACAGCCGCCAGGCTGGTAAACAGCTGCTCACTTTCAGTGCAGTGAGCGCACATGGCCTTGCAGGAAGGATTTTGAGCAGCTTTCACCTTAGAAGGGCCAGCTTCGGACTGCATCAGCTGGTAAACTTTTGAGCTATGTATCTTAAAGGAAAGCTTTGACGTGAAATCAGCATGTGGTGAGACACAGGACACGTGCTAAGAGTGTTTAAATAGGAATAATGTACAGGGTTATGGGGAAAGGGCAGATATTTGGCACTAAGTTATGATGCTCGTTCAGTGCAGAGATAATGGCTGAAATCTACCCCCATTGCACTGTTACAATTATGTGATTCTGTCGCTATAGTGAGACAAGAAGGATGTTCTTGGCTGGATGGCTGATGAGCAACATCAAGATCACTGGCAGCGTGGTAATGGTGGGAGGATAAATGCTGTCATCCTTAGAGAGTAAAGCAGCTGCACATTTCATGTCTACCACTGCCATTCACTGCCAGTGTCTCACCAATCCTAGCAACTGGTTGGAAGACAGCTTGCTGGACCTGCTGTGATATCATGCAAGCCCCTTTGAACAATGCTATCCACAGGTATGATGGCAGCAGTATGAGCTTCCATGGCCAGAAGCTGACCTTGCATGACTTCCATCTGAGCTTCCACTGCAACAAGTAGACACTGGGGAAATTCTGTTTGAGCTGTCATGTAATCTGTGACATTAGATACTGAATTTTGATTGGAGACACAAGTTTTCTCATGGTGTTGGTCTCCACCTCTACTTTGGAAATTTAGGGTCTCAAGCTCCTGCAAACCTCAGTGTCATGTTAATATCAGACTCCTTCATGTTTCTTGAAGTTGACAACAAACATTTCAGCAGATTTTGCCAATGCACCAAGACTTACATTGTGTATGCCGAGGTCTTTGCCTGGTGGTTTTCCCAAAGTCCATTTGAATCCTTTGCAGCACAATCTATATGCAATCTCAAGTACTGGCAAACTAATACTTACACTCCCTTGGCTCCTAGTCTGGCTCCAGGTTACAGAAGCCTGGTGTTTCATTCCATGCTGAGCTTATGTCTAAGCTGTATGTTTGTGGAGTATCAATGCCTGAAATGGTTACTGAGTATGAGAACTGAGTATAATAACATTTCTTCTTCATTACTGTCTTCCTGCACTTCCAACTTTTGATATTCCCTCACTGTCAGCCAGTTTGTAGCTCTTGCATATCTGAAAAAAGGGACAAGAATAGTCTTGCGATGAGGAGGAAAAGCTTATGCAGTTTGTAAATCATAAGCATTCGTGGGATTGGGCAAAATCTAATTGGAGCATAATTAGTAATGAGGGTACCATCATCTTTCATGGTTCTAGCTTATCTGCTGGCCACAGCTTCAGTGATGGCTCCTCTAATGACAACAAACGTAGTCTCCTCCATGGGTTAAGGGCACATAGCTATGCTTGCCCCAAGCATTAGGTGTCGTAAAAGAGTGAGCATTGTATCAGTGAAAGTGGCACAATGTATTTGGGTGATCTGCTTGTGAAAGGTATACAGTTGGTGATATGTGCAAAGAAGGAGATGTGGACATGAGGCTCTCCTCCAGCAAAGCTAAGCGTGAGAGGTGGAAATGAAACTATTAATGACAACCCACAGCTCATTAATAAAGATTGCTGGGAGCTGAATGAAGGAGTGTTTGTGAGGGTTGTTGTTGTGAAGATATGAAATTTGAAGTTGAATTAACTGACTTGACCACTTCTGCGAGGTCATTAAATATCTTGCAGCATTTTATCCAGGTTCGATTCCTACCATTGATTGCCATTGCCAAAACAGAGTGATGTATGCAGCAGGGGATGTCAGACCAGGTGTTAGGTCCAGCACTGGAGGAGGAGGAGGGGTGCATGTAAGGCTTGGAGCCAAGGTTGAAGTTGAGCTCTGTCAGGTCATAGGGTAGGGGTAGGGGCAGAAAGCATGCAGGTGAAAGACTTGAATCAAGGAAGTGGAAGAGATTGTGGGGGAGGGGATTTTCGTGGGAATGGGGTGTGGGTGGGAGGGGGGAGTCAATACTGAGTCAGGGATTCACAGGAATGTAGGAGAAATAGGCCCATTCAGTTCCTAGAGGTTGTTCCACCATCCTAAGTCATGACCAATTAATTACCTCAATGCCATATTCCCACATGATACCCATATCCCTTGATGTTATTAAGATCATTGGAAACCAGAAATACATCGAACCTCTGTCTTTAGCATTTTAAAAGACAAATGTCTGGTGGGAGTTCGGTGCCACTAGCTTGGCCAGCATTTATTACATACCCCTAATTGCCATGAGAAAGGTAGTTATGAGCATCTTTCTTAAACAGCTGCAGTCTTTGAGATGGTGGATGGAGTGCTGTTTGGAATGGATTTCCAGAATATGACCCAGTGACAGGGAAGGAATGGCAATGCATTTTCAATCAGGATTGATTGGCTTGCGGTGGAAATTGCAGATGTTGGTGTTCCGATGTTTCTGCTGTCCTTGGCCTTTTTGGTGGCAGAAGACACTGGTTTAGAAGGCTCTGTTGGAAGAGTCTTGATAAGAACTGCTTCTTATGGTACAAATTGCTGCCACTAACTTTTGGTGGTGAAGGGAGTGAATGTTGAAAGTGGTAGATGTGTTACTGTTCTAGCAATTTGCTTTGTCCTATACAGTGCCATGCTTCTTGAGTGTTGTTGGAGCTGCACTCACCCAGTATTCCATCACATTCCTAACTTGTGCCTTGTGGATCATAGACTTTGGGGAGGCTGGAAGGGAATTATTCACTGCAGGATTCCTGGCCTCAGACCTTCTTATACAGTCACAGTGCGTATGTGGCTACTCCACTTCAGTTTCAAAGTCAATGGTAACCCCCAGGAATTTAACTGTGGGGTATTCAGCAATAGTAATTGTAATGCCATTGAATGTCAAGGTGTAATGGTTAGATTCTCCTTCTGTGTGGTGCAAATGTTACTTGCCTTTTCCAGTCTATGGGTTGATGTTGTCCAGATCTTGCTTTTTACAATGAAGCTTTTACCATCTTCTAAGGGAGAGAATTCCAAAGATTCGCCATCGTTAGAGTGAGGTACCACCTCCTCATGGCAGTCCAAAAATGCTTTCCTTCTATTTGGGATTGTGATCTCGATTCAAGAACCCAAAACCCTACTTTGTCTACTCACTTAAGAATCTTGTAAGTTTCTACAAAAACACTTCTCATGCTTCTGAGCTCAAGAAGACAAGCCCAGCCTCAACAACCTTTCCTAATGGTATCTGGTATTCCTGTTTTCCCATGGCTCAGGTAATAATCTTGAGATTACCACCTTGCAGGCTCTGTTTTTCTATTCAGCTGCTATTTAAATTGTTTTCACAGAACATCATTTCTGGTCCTAGCGATGTTGTTGGTACCAACACGGATGACGAAAATTGGATCGCTCCTCTCTCACTCCAAGTTTCTATTTCACCCTTGGATGTCATGAATCCTAGCATCAGGCAGGTAACTCAGCCTTTGGAACACATGCCACAGGATGCAGAGAACTTTGTCTATCTTTCTAATTATACGATCCCTTACCACTGTTCTGTTCCTATTTACTCCTTCACTCAAATGGCTCCCTGTACCACGGTGCTGTGGTCAGTTCGAACATTTTTCATTCAGTCTTCACTGTCTTCCACAGAGTTTGCAGGAAACTTGGAACTGTTGGGCAATTGCAGGGGCTACTTGAACACTACGCCCTGGGTCTCTATATTTGCTATACCCACAGTCACAGCATCCAGATCACCAAACCAATTTGAATGGCCTAATCTGAGAAGTGCGACTAACATTTTGGACCAAAAGATTCCAGATAGCTTTCACACTTTATGAGGTGGTGCAATCTCTGCTGCTTGGACTCCAGCTCAACTCTGATCCAAAATTGCTTGAGCTGTAAACATTTACTACAGATGTGTTCACCTTGGTGTCAAGCTCTCCCACATGTTGTAGCAATATTACATGATACATCCTGCCATAACCAGTGTATTTTTTCTAAGTCATTAATTCATTAGTCTGGTATCAATGCTCTTTGCAACAAAAAAAAAATCACATTTGCTGCTTTCCTGCACTTGCGCCACATTACTCCACCACAGGTCTCCCTGCAGGTAAGCCTATTGATCTGTACCTTTATGTGCACCACTCACTGTGGAGACTTTACTACTTGCAGTAAACTTTACTTAAAGCACCTCTTTTCCCTGTGCACCAAATTCCCACTTTGGACCAAATTCCATATATACTCACTCAGCCCCTGGCTCACTCAGGAGAAGTCTCCCTCACACAAAATCGCATTTAAGAGAGATTAATGTGCAAAATTAAAGCACATGAAATTGGTGGTAACATATTGGCATAGACTGAAAATCAGTAAGCACACAGGAAACAGACAATAGGAATAAATATGTGATAACAAGGTGTAGAGCTGAATGAACACAGCAGGCCAAGCAGCATCAGAGGAGCAGGAAAGCAATTTCTGAAGAAGGGTCTAGACCCGAAACATCAGCTTTCCTGCTCCTCTGATGTTGCTTGGCCTGCTGTGTTCATCCAGCTCTACACCTTGTTATCTCAGATTCTCCAGCATCGGCAGTTCCTACTATCTCAGGAATAAATATGTGTTTTTTTCAGAAAGAAGGCAGTGACACGGGATAGTGTAGGCATCAGTGCTTGGGTCCCAGCTATTCACAATATATATATCAATGATTTGAACAAGGGAATCAAATGTAATATTTTCAAGTTTGGAAATGACACAAAATTAGGTGGGGTTGTGTGTGTTGAGGAGGATGCAAACAGCCTTCTAGGCAATCCAGACAAGTTGAATGAGTGGGCAAATGCACAGCAGATGCAGTATAACGTAAATAAGTTTGAAGTTTCTACTTTAGTGGTAAAAATAAAATGTTAGGGTATTATTTAAATGACCTTAGATGGGGAAATCCTAATGGAGTCTGGGTATCCTTGTACACCAATCACTAAAAACAAGCATATTAGTAGAGATAGTAAGAACCACCAATGCTGTAGTCAGAGGAACACTGCAGCATCAGAGAAGTAGGAAAGTTGACGTTTCGGGTCGGGACCCTTCTTCAGAAATGGGCCCAGCTCCACACCGTGTAATCTATGTAAGTACTGCAAGCAGTTAAGGAGGCAAATCGTGCATTGGCAATGCAAATGAGTTTGAGGACAGAAGTTGGGGTGTCTCGCTGCAGTAGTCCTTGGTGAGAGAACACTTGGAGCATCATGTGCAGCTTTGGTCTCTTTATCTAAGAAAATAAATAAAACAAACAACTGTGGGTGCTGGAAATCTGAAACAAAAACAGAAATTGCTGGAGAAACTCAGCAGATCTGGCAGCATCTGTAGGAAGAAAGCAGAGTTCATGTTTCAAGTTTTGTGACTCTACATCATAACTAAAGAAAGCTAGGAAAGTAAATATTTGCATTGGGGTGGTGGGGGTGACTTGTGGAACAAAGGATCAAGGTACCACAGGTACGTTATTTTGGACTGAAATTAGGACAAAATTCTTCATTCAGAGAGCAGTGAATCTGTGGAATTCTCATACACAGAAGGCTGTGGAAGATGAGTCATGCGTATCTTTTAGAAAGAGATATATTTCTAGAGGCTAAAACTGTCAAGGGTATGAGGAGAGAGAAGGATAGACATTGGAGATAAAGAATCAGCATGATCATGTTGAATGACATGGAGGGGGTTTGATGACCTACTCCTGTTTCAATTTTCTATGTTTCTATCTATGCTCCAATCGACATCCTCAGAAAACCTGAACAGGTTTTTCAAATATATTTCTCCTTGAAAAAAGCTATGTTGCATCTGCCCTACTTGACCATCATTTGTTATTGTCCAGCTATCACTTCCTTTATAACATTTTCTGACATTTTCCCTTTTAATGACATCAAATTAACAGCTCCGTGTTTTATTCTCTCTTTCTGTATCTCCTTAAATAGTGTGTTACATTTTCTACCTTCTAGTCTGCAAGAACATTTTGAAATGCTAGAGAATTGAGAGAAAACTACTAATATATCCATTATCTCTGCAGTGAGCTCATTCATCGCTCTGGAATGGTAGTTAATCTGATATAGGGAACATATCAATTTTCACTCCAATTACCTTTTTTGAGTACTCCCCCTGTATTAATACTAATTTCTTTCAGTTCTTCATTTTCATAAGTTTCATAAGGGGCAGCACAGTGGCTCAGTGGTTAGCACTGCTGCCTCACAGCACCAAGTTCAATTCCACCCTCGGGCAACTGTCTGCGTGGAGTTTGCACATTCTTCCCCTGTCTGCCTGTGGGTTTCCTCTGGGTCCTCCAGTTTCCTCCCACAGTCCAAAAATGTGTAAGTTAGGTGGGTGGCTATGCTGAATTGCACCTAGTGTCCAGAGTTGTGCAGGCAAGGTGGATTAGCCATGGGAAATGCAGGGTCACAGGGATAGGGTAGCTGGTGGGTCTGGGTGGATGCTCTTCTGTAAGGGTCAGTATGGACTCGATGGGCCAAATGGGTTGCTTCCATACTGTAGGGATTCTATGAAGTTTCTTGGGTCCTTAGTATTTGTGTCATTTTGTGGGTTCTTCCATGAAGACACAAAGTAATTGTTTAATTACTCTGCCATTTCCCTATTCTCTATTATAAATTTCCCTATTATCTATAATGTACCCATGTTTGTTCATACTAATCTTCCTTCTCACATACCTATAAGAATTGTTTATAGTCTTAATCTTATAGTCTATAATCTTTATGTTAGTCGCCATTTTGCACTCATTTTCCTTTTCCCCTCATTACAGGTTTCTTTTACTCGTTCTTTGCTAAATTCTAAATTGTTTCCAGTCTCAACCTTATCAGCCATTTCCTTTGATTTGATTCAACCATAAATATCTGTTAGCCACAGTTCATTCATCTTTCCTACTGAAATTTTGTACCTCAGAGGAACGTATATTTGTTGAAGACCACGTGCTAAGTTTTCCTATTCTTTGGTGACAGTCATGGTGGATAATCCAACACAGTCCATTTTTGATTTTCTTCACACAAGCTTCCATTCTCTATCTTGTTAACTGGCCTCTCCGCTGCCCATGTCATGAATTCATGAGGCAGGAGAGCTCAATGCTCAAGAAAATTACATTTGTGTTCATTAACTTTTTTCTCTTCACATACTCATAGAAGCTTGTTCTTGGCAAGCTTATTCTCACACTCTATTTCCCCCCTCTTAATCAATCCTTTAGATTTCAGTAAAGAAACACAAAATTGCTCCCAATTGTTAGGTCTGCTGCTTTTTTTAAAGCCAGCTGCATGCCCTTTCTTTTGATCTAATACCACCCCTAACTTCCCTTGTTAGCCATATCAATCCATCTTTCTCATTTTATGTTTGTACCAGACAGGAATGAACAATTGTTCCAGATCATCTGTGCACACTCTAAATGCTTGCCATTGCTTATCTACCATCATTCCTTAAGTAAAGCTCCCTAGTTTATTGGTATCACAGAAATTAGATCTTGAGACCATTAAATCATCTATGCACAGGGGTGTAGCATTTAAGAAATTGCAATCGTAAAAACTTTTCCAAATGGGATTTCAGCAGAAATACTTGAGGGTAATGCAAATGATCCAGAAAATTCACAATCATTATGGTTTCACAGACCCTCAGGATATTCAAGATTTTGTCTCAACTTTTAATCACCAGAGAACTTATTTCATCCACACCTTGAAATTGCAGTCTAATCCATCCAAATTCTATTATGATATGTTTTGGAAGCCACACAATGGGGCAGTTTATTTGTTTTATATCTTGGCAGTTTTCACTGCATTTGTATACTGCCAAAAGTATTTGAATAATCTACTGTCACGCCACAGCATGTTTCTTTCATATCAAATTCATGATGTCTGGCAGAATGCTTGTTAAAAAAGAACTGGGTTAACTGAAGGCTTATTATTACTGGACACGAATATAATTTCTCCATACCTTAACACCAGCAAAAAATTCTTTGCTTTCAGCTGAAGGTCCTTGAATTTCCGGGCTATCCAAGTAGAAACTTAAACACCTGCAGTAAATCTGTGAATTCAAGAATAGATATCGCATGATAATAGATAATACAAGCTCATTACGGGTAAAACAAAAATTAAAAATGGGAGGAAAATTTATTTTTTCATTGCTCAATGAATATCTAGGCAACTGAGGAAAACTGACAAATCCATCAAACAACAAGGCAAGAGTTTTCACTTTTAACATAAAAATCCAGAACTTCTGCTCTAAAGATACAGATTAAGCTGCAGCTCAAATTTCTGCTGACTTTCATTTGCGTAATCCCAATTCACCATTCGCCAATTGGGTAGGACGTGCCAGAATGCAATTGTCTCTTTTATAATTTTTACATTAAAAGTATTCCTTCATGTATTTGTAACTAGTAACCTGGTGCTGTTTTATTGGAATAGATTAATAATTTATTTTCAAGAAGGTGTTCAGTCCTCAAATTGTATGTCACCTCAATTAAAATAACTGAAAATTACTAAAAAGAGGAACCATTTAATAGTTTCATTGACATACACTAGACAGTTTCTTAAGAAATTAAATACTTGTTCGTATGAGCACTCTTCTAAAATACACCTAACGTTTATGCATTCCAAAGCACAATTGTGACAACAGTGTAATCAATCAAATGTCTCACTTCCAACTGGGAGCTTGACCAGTTTTGTGGGCAGATCCTGGCCCAGGCAAACTGGAAAATAAATGAATGGAAATGCTTGTTGTAAACACTAATTCAGGTTGCTTGGGGCACATCTTATAAAAGATTTAAAATTCCCCAATCTTCATGCCTCATTTTGCCAAATCCACTCCAAGTGCTACTACTATTTGTGAAAATAAGCAGAAACTCTACACCCGATGTTTAATAAGAGGAAAACTACTAAAATCAAATTCCACACTTTGAAATTATGTCCAAGTTGCTGCCTCTGTGAGACTGATTTTCAGCTGAGAAACATTATATTTTGTAAAACAAGTATTATGGCATTGTAGTTAATATTACTGTTAAAAAAAACCCGAGACCCGACTTACTGATCCCAGAGACATACACTCAAATTTGACCACAGCAGCCGAGAAATTTAAATTCAGTCAAAATTATAAATTGTTCAATTAATAAAACTGAATAAAAAGCTAATTTCAATGATGCTGACTAGAAAACTATCAGATTGTTGTAAAATGTATTTAACTCACCAATGTTGTTTCAGGCATACCAAAAAGTGAGGCATTGGCCTGGTGAAGCTACAGCACAGGACTATATACATGATAAACAGTGGAAGCTGCATGTTACAAACAAATCTAAATAATCCCACAATCAACTCTACAGATCAAAGCTTTGCGATCCTCTGCCACATGCAAGCTAGTGAACAATTAAATAAATAACAGAAGAAGCAAGCTCAACGAACTTCTCAAACTTCAATTATCAATCACAGAACCCAATAGTGCCTAAGCAACAAGACAAGATTGAAACATTTGCAACCATCTACAGCCGGAAGTGCAACAATTATCTCAGCTACCTCCTAAGGTCACATCATTATAGAAGACATTGTTAAGCTAATACGATTCCCTCCATATGATATCATGAAGCAGTCTGATGTCCTGGATACTGCAAAGTCTTTTGCAACAACAGCCCAGCTATAATGCTGAAAATTTGGGTTCCAGAACTCGCCAAGCTATTCTATTACAGCACAACACTGATATCGACGTGGAAAATTGCCCAGCTATGTCCTGCCTACAAACAGTAGGACACATCCAATCCAGGCAAGTATTCCTCTATCGTTCCACTTTATATTATCAAAGTGATTCATCAGTACTATCAAGCAGTAGTCACTCTTCAATAACATTCTGACAACCAAGATACATGTGCCATTATATCCAATCGTTCATTCGTGGCAAACATTCTAAGCAGTGAGGTTAAAGAGATCACACTTTGTATCATGGCAGCATTTGACTGATTCTAACATCAAAAAAACTCAGGTAAAATCAAAGTCAGTGGGATATAGAAGAAATCTCTCCATGAGGTTGTGTCATATTAAAATACAATGAACGATTATTATGGTTGTTGGAGGTCAATCATCTCGGCTGTTTTTTTTTAAAAACTAACGTGAGCAGAGATGTTATCACACATTTAGGAGCAGGTGGGACTTGAACACAGGACTCCTAGCTCAGAGGTAGGGATACTACTTTCTCAGGGCAATGTCCTAGGTGTAACAGTTTTCAGCTGTGTTATCAAGAATCTTCTAATATTAGAAGGTCAGAGCGGAGTGTTTGCTGAAGATTGCATACTGTTCAATTCCACTTGCAATACGGCAGATAATGAAGCTGATGATGATAACTGTAGCAAGACATGGACAATATTCAGGCTTGGGCTGATAAACGTAAAGTAATATTCATGCCACACAAGTGCCAGGTAATCATTACTTCCGACAGGAGTGACTGTAACCACCCCCCCTTGACACTTAACACAACAACATTGCCGAATCCCCAACCATTAAAATCACCACTGTTGATTGATTGATTTATTGTCACATGTACTGAGATCCAGTGAAAAGTATTGTTTTGCATGTTATTCAGGCAGATGGTGTCATACAGGGTGCTCAGGATAGCAGAGCAGAGTGCAGAATAGAGTGTTACAGCAGCAGACTGGGTGCAGAGAGAGAAATCAGAGAATTAACATTTGAGAGGTCCGTTCAAAAATATAACTGCAGGGAAGAAGCTGTTCTTGAATCTTAAACTTTTGTATCTTCTGCCTGACAGAAGAGGGTGGAAGAGAGTATAACCAGGTGGGGGGAGTCTTGATTATGTTGGCTGCTTTCCTGAGACAGTGGGAAGTACAGATGGAGTCAATATATCAAAGTCCGGTTTGCGTGATGGATTGGGCTGTGTTCACAACTCTCTGTAGTTTCTTGCAGTCTTGGGAAGAGCAGTTGCCATAGCACATGGTGATGCATCTAGTTCGGATGCTTTCTATGGTGCATCTATAAAAAATTATTAAGAATCATTGTGGGCATGCCAAATTTCCTTAGTCTCCTGAGGAAGTAGAGATGTTGTTGTGCTTTCTTGGTCATCGCACTGATTTGGGTGGATCAGGACAGATTGTTGGTGATGATTGCTCCCAGTAACCTGATGCTCTCAATGATCTCCATGTTAGCACCATTGATGCAGACAGGAGCATGCCCTCCACTCCACTTCCTGAAGTCAATGTCCAGCTCCCTCAGTTTGTTGAGGGAGAGATCGTTGTCTTTACACCATGTCGCTAAGCACTTGATCTTTTTCCTGTATTCTGTCTCATCGTTTTGAGATCCGACCTACAATGGTCGTGTCGTCAGCAAACTTGTAAAAGAGTTGGGGTGGAATTTGGCCACTCAGTTGTGAGTGTCTAAGGAGTATTTTATGGGTCTGAGTACACAGCCTTGTGGGGCACCAGTATTGAGAGTTGTGGTGGAGGTGGTGTTGACACCTCTTCTTACTGATTGCAGTCTATCAGTCAGGAAGTTGAGGATCCAGTTACAGAGTGAGGAGCTGAGATCTAGGTCTCAGAGTTTATAGTAGAGTTTTTTTTTGGGAATTATGGTGTTGAAGGCGGAACTATAGTAAATAAACAGGAGCATGATATAGGAGTCCTTGTTATCTAGATGTTCCAGGGATGAGTGTAGGGCCAGGGAAATGGCATTTGCTGTGGACCTGTTGTACCAGTAGGCAAATTGCAAAGGGTCAAGGCAATTTGGTAGGCTGGAGTTGATGTGAGCCATGACTAAACTCTCAAAGCACTTCATAATTATGGAGGCCACAGCCTCTGGGCGGTAGTCATTAAGGTAGGCTGCATGAGTTTTCTTTGGCACCAGGATGACAGTGATCTTCTTGAAGCAGGCAGGAACGTCAGATCACTGGTAAGAATTGGTTAAAGAGGCCTGTGAATATCCTACCAGTTGGTCCACACAGGATCCGAGTGCACGACCAAGGAATCCATCTGGGCCAATCGTATTTTTTGTCAGTTCACTCTCAACAAGGCTAATCTAACATCTGCGGCAGTGACTATGGGTGCAGGTGCATCTAAGGCTGTTGTGATAGGTGACATGGTTTCACTGGCCTTCTGTTCAAAGTCAGCGTGGAATGCATTGAGCTCGGATAGGGATGTTCTTTTGCGCGTGATTCTATTCGACTTCACTTTGTAACCCATTATGTCATCTAAGCCTTGCCACAAAAGGCAAGTGCCCATGCGGTTGGTAGGGGTCTCAAGCTTAGTCTGGTATTGCCTCTTGGCATCTCTGATGGCCTTACAAAAGTTGTACCTGGATTTCTTGTATAGGTTAGACTTGCCTGACTTGTAAGCTTCAGACTTGGACTTCAGTAGGGAGTGGATCTCCTGATTCATCCATGGTTTCCAGTTGGGAAACATTCGAATTAACTTCTTGAGCGTGCCCTCTTCTACATACTTACTAATGAAGCAACAGCAGAGGCATACTCATTTAGGTTGGCCACTAACTTCTTGAATATGGACCAGTCCACTGACTCTAAGCAGTCCGGTAGAAGCCCTTCCATTGCCTCAGATCAACACTAAACTATTTTCCGTTCTGGGCCATAAACTAACTTAACGCAGCCATATAAATATTACACCTTCAAAAATAGATCAGAGGCTGGATATTCTGCGAAAGGTAACTCATGTCCTTACTTCCTAAAGACTTTCCATTATCCACTCAGCACAATTCAGGTCTACATGGAATACACAGTCTCAAAGCAACTAGAAATAAGAAATAAATGGTCACCTCACTAGTGATGTTCACAGTCCAAAAACAAGTTTTTAAAAAGTAAGCTAGATCTGAGCTGAACATAATATATTGAATAATGCCTAAAACATATGACAGATACAAATTGGATGCAATGTTTCCTTTCAAGCCTCACAGCAACCCAAAAGCCAATCACTCTAAATTACCATGCATCTGGACTGTGCAAAAGAATTTCATGTGTTCACACACTTAACTAAATGACCCATACATTCCAAATAAAAGGACAGGGAACATTGATTGAAGGTGAAGTTCTTAGGTTGCAACATAAATCAAGCAACAGTAAATTAGCAATCTATTCTCCAATCTATACAATTTTATTTTCTAGGGACATAACAAGAAAGAAATTGGACAGAGTTTAAAATGGGTTGCTGATTAACTTCTGTCCATTTTGCATTATCACCAAAGTCTAATTTCCATTGTCTTATGGGAAAACATATTGGTTGTTTACTGAAGTACCATTAAACTCTGGCAATTTCCACTGTCATACATATTTATATTTCTTATTTTATTGTGCTAAGAATCTGGAGACAGTTACAAAACAGGAACTTTGCCAAGTCTATAAAATGGACTGCTGTAATTTTGCTTGTGTACACAAGTATCAGTTTGAAATTCTGCATATTGAAGACTTTGGGTGGGAGACATCAGTTTTGTACATCTCTGTATTTTCCAAACGTACTTTGCAAGATGTTTTTTTCCCTGAATCTTGTATGTTATTCTTTTCTTCCAATCACAGCTCAAATATGTTATGAAACTGGATTTCAAAATTCCAAGTTACTTACTGTAAAGTTACTCAGGAAACATGAACATATGAACAAGGAATGAATGTCGGCCCTTAGCTTTTTGAGCCTGCTTCATCATTCAATTAGATCATGGCCAATCTGATTTTAACCTCAACTCGACATCCTGCATACCCCCATTAATTTTTCATCCCCTTGGTAATCAAGAATCTTTCTATCTCCACCTTAAAAATATTTACAGCTTCTGCACCCACTTCCTCATGAGGAAGGGAACTCCAAAGACACACAATCCTCAGAAAAATAATGTTTCCTTATCACTGTCTTAAAAGGCCAATCCCTTGTTCTAGGCTCTCTCAGAAAAGGAAACATCCTTTTGACATCAACCTGGTCAAGTCCCTTCAGGATCTTCTATTAATTTCACTTTCAATTAAGTGACTTCTGACTCAAACTCCAGAGGATACAGGCCGAGCCTGTCTAGCATGTTTCCTCATTAAGCAGTGCGTTCATTACAGGTATTCATCTAGTAAATCTTCTGCTTCCAATCTTTTTGTAGGTAATTCTATCTGTAGTAATTCTATCCCCCCACTCCCTTTAACTACCTACCTAAGGAGGCAGGAAGGAGCCGGGTCACAACCAGGAACCATGTGACAGGAGCTGAACGCGCGGATTGTGTCCTGCAGTGATGGTGGATTGAGCGTGGGCCAGAGTGATGGCGGTGGATCAACAGCAGGCCAGCAAGAATGGTGAGGCAGCAACAGCGGGATTGGACCAATGAGGTAGCAACAACAAGAGCAAGCCAGTGAGCTAGCCAGGAGCAGGACTCTGGTGGAGGAATGGTGTGGGCTGGAAAGCCTGAGTGGGATTGCGGCAGTGGAAAGGAAAGTTGGATTCTCTTGAGTTATCTTTTTTTCCTTATGTTATTCTAAGTTAATGTGAATGATGTCATGTATATACAGTGATGGTACACACTTTTCACTGCATTTTTACATTGAATAAACGTGACAATAAATGATTGAATTCAATTATAAAAACGTATGTAGGACTCCAGACACAAGCTCACCGGCTGCACTGTATAACTAAAGAATAATCCTCCCTTGCATTCAATTACCACACAATTAAACGTAACATCATACTAGCTATCTGATTTCTTGCTTTAACTGCATACTAACCCCCAGCGATTCATATCCTATGACAGCCAGATTGATTTGTGTTTCTTCAACCTCTCACCATATTAGATAATATGCTTTTTCTCATTTTTTTCTGCCAAAATGGACAATTTCACACTTTCTCACATTGTACTCCACTTGCCAGATCTTTGCCCACTCACTTAACCTACATATATCCCTTTGTAGGCTCTTTAAATCCTCTTTATGACTCACTTTCCTATCAATCCTTGTGTCATCTGCAAACTTAGCTACCATACCTTTGGTTCCTTCATCAAAAATTATTTATATAAATTGTAAAGAGTTCAGGCAGTTACCTCTATGGCAAAATCACTGATGATATCCTGCCAGCCTGAAAAAGACACATTTATTCTTATTCATTGCTTCCTGTTTGTCTGCTAATCTCCTATACATGCCACCATGCTGCCTCTGACACTGAGCTTTTATTTTCTGCAATTAACTTTCATGTGGCAGCTTATCAAATACCTTCTTGAAATCCAAGTACAATATATCCACTAGTTCCCCTTTATCTACAGTGTAAGTTATTTTCTTCAAAGAGCTCCAACGAATTAATTAAACATGGTTTCCCCTTGACAAAATCACGTTGGCTCAGCTTGATCACCTTTAGTTTAACCAAATGCTCTATTTTCCCTCTGACAGGTGTTAACTGGTTTGTAGTTTCCTGCTTTCTGCCTCCTTATTTTTTTGAATAGAGGATTTACATTAGCTGTTCTCCAATCAAAAGGAACTTCCACATAATCTAATGGGCTTTGGAAATTTAAAAAACAATGCATCAATTATCTCACTGGCTACTTCCTTTAATACACTAGGATGAAATTCATAAGGACTGGGAATTTGTCAACTCAATTTACTCGCTACTACTTCCTACTTGAGAAGTTTCTTGATTCCGTCGTCCCTTTCAATTCCTAATTTGCAGCTATTCTCAGGATGCTATTTTAATCCTCTCTAGTGAAGACTGATGCAAAATCTTTGTTCAATTCATCTCTCTCATTTTATCCTCTGTTACTAATTCACCAAACTCATTTGCTATAAGACTATCCACTTGTTTTGTTAACTTTTTTCTTCTTTAAATATGTGAAGAAACTGTTACATTGATTAAAACCATTCCAAGTCAAATGCAACTATATAACTAAGTCATTAACTCATCCCTCGGGCCGACATCTCATTCATACTGAACCTATGCTACCCAGTTGTTATCTTGCTGCTTTACCTCTCTGTCACTGTAACCAGCTGTCATCTTAATACCTGTCATCCTCTTACCCAGCATTCTCCCATTCAGCTCTCTCTATCAACCTGCCAGTCTACTGCTTTGTCACTTTGCCCCTCTTTCACCTTATCCTGCTGTCACCCTGCTGCCTTATTCTTTACCAACAGACTTCCTCCACCCTACTTACACAATCATACAGTGATCCATTCACTCACAGAGTCACTCTAACAAAATGACATGGTCTTAAATGGGACATTTAAGTTCTACTATCTGGAATACAGTGGCTAATGTTGCAAAAAAAAAAAACTGTGGCTTCCTCTTGAAGTTGAATTTGAGAGATCCTCCATTAAATAATGTTATAACCGGACAAGTAAGATTCCAGGCAGAAATCTGGCTTGATAGGTCATTTTTCTTCAACAAGGCAGTTTTTTACTGATACACAAGCATACAACACAAAAAAAAGCTGTGGCACAGTGGTTAGCACTGCTGCCTCACAGCACCAGGGACCCGGGTTCGATTCCAGCCTCGGGCGACTGTCTGTGTGGAGTTTGCACATCCTCCCCGTGTCTGCATGGGTTTCCTCCGGGTGCTCTGGTTTCCTCCCACAGTCCAAAAATGTGCAGGTTAGGTGGATTGGCCATGCTAAATTGCCCGTAGTGTTCAGGGAGGTGTAGATTAGGTAGGTTATAGGGGGATGAATCTGGGTGGGATGCTCTGAGGTTCGGTGTGGACTTGTTGGGCCGAAGGGCCTGTTTCTACACTGTAGGGATTCTATGATTCTATGAAAAGATTACCTCAGGTGTCTTAATATGCTAACCTGATATTTTTATTTAGAATCCGCTCTGAATAACACAACCTGAGAGTATGTGTTGAGTCCCCAATCTGTAAGTGCAGATCAGATGAAATTGAATTGTTCAACCAATTCAGTTATTCATGACTTTTGGCAAAAAAAATCTAGTTGGAATCACTTAGTGGCAAAGTCACTATTTTAAGATTCTTCCTTTACCCTCTAAAAGTGACATTTTTCCTTTCTTAAGCCTCCTATGGCATGCTCATTTCCCTCATCAACACACCATTATGGCTTAGTATTTGGAACAACAGCAAACAAAGCAATATGTAACTCCTCAAAAATTTGATTAGCAAGGTTAGCTGATCTCATTTGTTTGGTAAATAAGTCTATTAAAATAGACTAGCAGTTTCAATAAATGCCATGAGGCTGGATTTGCTCGACTATTCCAACAGACGCCTGTTGTAATTGCAATAGGAGTTCGGCAAAACGCTTGGAAAACAGCCAGGGATGGACTCCCAACTTCGGTTATGAGTTGGCAGCATCTGCGGAGAGAAAGCAGAGTTAACGTTTCAGGCCTTATGACACTTCTTCAGGGTCTTTGAACAGTTCTGAAGGGTCAATAAACCCAAAACATTAATCCTGCTTTCCAACCACAGATAATGCCAGACTTGCTGAGGTTTTCTAGCAATTTTTGTCTTTGTTTATGGTTTCCAGCACTGGTAGTTTTTAGGTTTTTTTTGTTTAGTTGTGAATTCCTTTTCAGTCTTCTGATGCAGCTACTTCCTGTCCCTCAAAAGGCCACAGATGTAAAATAGAAGCTATGGAAGGGCAGAGGGGCAAAGAACTCAGTATGATACCAGCGGTTGACAGATACAATGTACTACCCTCAAGAATGAGAAAGATGGGCCTCACTGGATCTGAGGGACGTAGTCCAGGCCCAAAAAGTGAATGATTCTAAGAAGAACATGTATTGAATGGGTGCGTTAGACAGGGAATCTCAATGTATCAAATAGGATAAAGCAAGGTGGCACGGTGGCTCCTGTTTCCACACTGTAGGGATTCTAAAAGGATAAAAAAGAAAAAAAGCACATTCATCTAAGATGCACCTACAGGGAGGTGGATGCCTGCCAGACTGTCAAAACTGAGGCGGATTCCCAGTGACCCAGCAAATTCTAACAGCATCTAGGCATGATTCTGATCTAACTGCTGAGCCTTTTTCAGGGCTTCAATTTCACAGGAAAAAAAGCAGCAATGGCTTCAAACTATGATTTTAGTATACGCGGGTGTGAGTAAATATATTTTAAAAGAAGTCACATACCCTGTCCCCAAGTCTGAGATTTACCCCATCCAGTTCTATAAAGGAAAACTTCTGGACTGTTGTCTCCTGACGCAGCTCCTCTTTGGTTCCATCAGGTGACAGTCGGAACCAAGTGACAGTAAATCCAAGAGAACTGTTTGTTACTGAACTCTCAAAGGAACACTTCAGATAAATACTCCCATTATCTAACTCAGCCACAACTTCGAGATCAACTGGAGGTGGTGGATGTTTAGCTGCTAAATAAAGCATAAAACATTGTTATAAAACTTAAAATTTTTAGATTAACTGAGAAATTTTCTATTAATACAAAATATGGAGACACCATTCCAACTTCTCAGGTCTTTTCGTGTGTGATCGTTGTAAAATCAAATACACGCATTAAGGGATACAATTATTTTTATATAATTGTAATCGTTTTGCCAAAATTTCCTCTTTTCTACCATTTTGCTGGCTTTGACTCTGCTTTTAAGTATGGTCTACGTGCACCAGCTGCCTTCAAGCACTTTGAAAGAGGGCCATAAATGTCATGATGACATTTTGATTAAGTATTATCTCATCTGCAATTACATACATACACTTGCAGCAAGAATCACCTCACAAAAATCAGGCATGGGAACACAGGGCGATTTTCCTCCTCCATATCACAGAAATGCTGGATGTAATTCTGGTGCAAATGGTGACAATAAGCTGCTCAACCACAAGTACTTTTTAATCTCCAGTGTGTGCTCAGTTTGTTGAGCTATGTTAGGCTTGTTTGACAATTAACTTCAATGTCTCTGGTAAGGGACACAGTTAAGGCATTATACTGGAAATGCTCAGATGTGGATATTGTGCCAATTAAGATCCAACGGGCTGCTCCACTACATTCATGAAAAAGAAGCTGTGAGCAGCTGCTGTCTGTGGAGTCATAAGGAGTCAAAAACATTGGGAGTAGAGGGAAAAAGGAGACAACTGGTCAAAAGCAAAAGGTGATAATAAATATTGAAGAATTACAAAGGATCCGACAGGTTAATTCACCTCCCAAAGGGAGCAACAGGTGATAACAAATCGGCTGCTCAATTTACATCTTATCCAATCTTCTTTTCATCCTGTTTTACCCAAAAGTAATTAAAATTACCTTCAAAGTGAGCAAGAATTGAAGAATAAATAGACAGCTCAAGAAAATAAATAAGTATAATAAATATATAAACTAGAAGATAATTATGTATTGACAACAAATTTAATACAAATGACAGTAAGATTAAACATGTAAATAGAAAACATTTAATTTCATTTGATCTGATTTGAATTTTGGTTCAATACTTAATGTAATTTTAAAAAAGGCATTAAGAGATACTGATCACTTGAAAATGGGATCCAAGGTACATGAACAGCATTTTAAATTGCACAGGATAGCATTCTGGTGAAAGAGTTTGCGCACATGCCCCCAGTGACTGGCAGTATGTGGATCATGACACAAGTCAGCGATACTGAACCTGACTTTTCAAACAAGAGAATTTAAGTAAATCCCAAGTTTTAAACCTGCTGAGCTGAACACATTATGAAAGGGAATGAGTGATGAAATACCACCCCACTAGCACGATTTAAGCAGATTAAGAGCTATTTATAGAGTAGTTGCTTGATTATTTTGTCTGACTGTTGGTAAAATCGTGTTTTACTGGAGATTTTGTATACATGCCTAAAATTTGAACCATCTATAAAGAGTAGTCTGGCTGGTGCTGAAGTACTTTTGCAGTCATCTCGACCTGTTGTTGAAACAAAGTGCTTTCTTGGGTTGCTAACTCAGGACATTGAAAATAATTGGAAAGTAAAGACAGGTCACTCAGAACAGGGTAAGCTGCCAGAATAGGGAGAAGGGAAAGGGTTGTCAACAGGAATATGTACCAAAGCTATTAGCAATTCTCTTACATTGACTTCATCTGCCACCATCACCATCATCTGCAATCCCAATGCCCCCCTTAACTCCAACAAGGGTGAGCCGAATTTTTTGAGACAAAAGGAGGGACCGAGTTTGATTGAAGTTGATGGAACTGCTGTTAGTGGTGATGCATGAGCAGGAGAGGTGGTGAAATATCCCTAGTGAGCAAGTAGGTTAATAGTTTGGAAAGACAAGGTGGGTGAAAACTACTGAGTGGACATGATTTATGTGATACAAAGAGTTATGGTTCATCAGTGTAGGTGAACTGAGTGTGCAATGACAGAGTTAGAGTGAGTGGTGACCTTGAGGGTGCAGGTTAACAGAGCAAAAATGGTGGACAGCACAGAAGATCACTGACTTCCTTTAAAGCTGGGCTTTAAACATGGCTCCAGAGGTGTGAATGTCAGAACAACCAGCAGTGGCAAGTATTTTTATCCATCTAGCTGTGAGATTTCTAAGAAACGCAGTGAAGAAGCCAGGGCATCATTAACGAGCTGAAGAGTTGCGGGAGAACTTGCTCCAAGCCCCAGTGGACTGGGGGCCAGGAATCTCCCTCAAAACATTAAATGAAAATAGTGAGAAAAAAATCTGTCCTAGGTGATTAATCTTCCCACTGTCTCCTAAACACCTGTCTGACAGACCCATCCCCACTACTTCTGCTTCGGGTGCTGTTCTCAATCACACTGCATTTTGTACAAAACCTTTTGCTGCCAACTTGTCAATAAACATTGTGCACATTGACCAACAATGTGAGTCATTTTTCAAACTTCTGCAGTACAGATTCATTTTTCAAAAACTCCAACCAATTCTCACAGCCATAGCGCACCTCTCTTTTAAAAGGCCTTTAAGGAGCAATAATTCACAGTATTGGGCTCACTGCTGAGTGTACCTAATTATCAGTATCATCATCAGAAGTTACACACAGCAAACATTTTAATCCCTGGCAATGCAAATTTAATGTGCTATCTGCAACACAATAGATGGAGGTGGGCTAATTGCACACTGTGACCCCCACACACATTTTTGGGAGTTAGCCAATTGATCGCCCTATCTCAAAGTATTATTATTTATGAGCTTAGTGAACTGATCAGTTGAAAATTACAGTCATGAAAGAATGCATATTACTGACAGGATATCATGAATTAAGTTGACAGTCACCTTGACAAATGTTTCCATTTTCAGTTTCCTTTGGACCACAGCTGCTTTGTTCTTTTGTTTCGGATGCAACTGAGGTAGAATCAAATAAACATCATTGTCACTTAAGTCTTAATAAACTAACTGAATCATTATCTTCTTGGAGTTCATAGTTTTTACTCCTCAGTTTTCCAACCAGTAGTTGTCATGCATCCCAACATCCTGTAAACCAAACTAGTGCTTCAACATTATCTCACCTCTTTCATCATATAAGCACAGCCCTGATGAGAAAATTTGCAGCTTATTTAGTTGTCTTTCATGGTTAAGAATGGTCAATCCATCTTCATGATTCCTAACACCAGTTTGATTAATATTTTCAAATTAATAATGTGAGCAGTGGGTCAACATCGCTTCCGTAGAGGCAGCGTTTGAAGTAGAATCTAGTAAATTATTGTGAGCATAGTATGGCTTTATGAAGTGTATTTTGTGCTGCTATTTTTACGGAGAGAAGTTGAGACAGAGGTGCAGAGCAGCCTGTGCGACACCAATAAAATAAACAACTTGTGAGGTCTTGGCTTTTTTTAAAATTGGAAACAATAGAAACAGCATGATTGTGGGGTCAAGCTCCCACAGAACCAGGATTTTTAATTTAACTTTGAATAGCTATTGAGTTTTGGAAGTTTCTAAACATCTCTCTCTACTACAGCAAAACTCGAGTTCTCTCTCTTTGTTTTCTCTTGATATTCTTTCCTCCTGGACTGGAGAAACACTGCATGCAAGACAACCTATTTTACTACATTTGCCCTTGCCAGCAGTGTGTTTAGGGGATGTTACCATCTTGGAACAGCTAACCAGTGATGTGTTAACAATACATATTATCTTGTTAAGTATTTCGATTGAATTACAGTTAAGCTAACTACTTTTTTAATTCTTACTTTGTCTGTATTTTATTTGGAGAGTAAGAATAAAGTGTGTTTTGCTTCAAGCCTGGAAGTTTGACCAATTGAATTGCATCTGGAACATAATACCTTACACTTGCCTTTTGAAACATGAAAACATTGGGGTGTAAGCCATCAGATTCTATTTGTCTGTTGAGCTTGTAAATTAATAGATAATACCTCAATTGACATTTTATTTCATTGAAGACTTATGCTTTTATATGGATATGTATCAATTATATGAGTGTAATGGTTACGTTTCTGGGCTAATAATGTTCAAAGTCCAACATAATTTTTTGTGAATTTGAATTGAGCCATAAAAGGACATTAAATCTGGAATAAAAAGTTTTAGACCTAAACTTTCATCCCCGAGTCAGGTAACCTCTCAAATCATCAGATATGCCTAGTGAAGACCTTACCTAAATGGCCAGACCTGCTCTCCATGAATAGTGGTGTCTTTGTGCAGCAGCATTTGTTACAGACCAATCCTCTTAGGATAACCTCTACTCATTCCAAATGAGGAAGGAGTTAGAAACAGTGCCCTAAAAGTAGGCTCTTGCACTTTGTCCTGGTTGGGGAGGCACATCCTGAGGGAATCAGCAGCTTCATGATTAAAAAATGGAAATTTTGAATTGTGTAACTTGAAATATTTGAACGTACATAGGATAGTATCATTAATGGCGGCCTTGAATAAAAACTGCAAATATATCACACGAGCAATTGCTGCAACCAAGTGACGAAGGGCAAATTGGTCCCTTTCTTTTTAACATGCAGCTATAACAAACTTCAACTAAAAACATAGTATTAGGTAAAAATTAAGGAGACAAATACATTGCGTTTCTGAATGAAATAAAGAGGAATTATATTACCTACCAGACACAAGTAAAAAAATTGACATCAAACATCTAAACACGAGTATAAATTTTTAAAAAGGGAAAGTATCTAGTACAATAGGAAGATAAATAATATGCAGTTCTTAAATAGGATTTGGCTTTTTTGCTTCAACCCGAGACCATGGCTGTTTAGCCCGTGCCTACGATGGTGACCAGTAGCAAAACCTATCAAACCTTGAGTTCTTGGTGGACGGGTGCTTCTCCAATAATTTTTGCCATTGCTGCCTTTCAAGATTATGAGAAGCAAACAAGGAGAGACGGAATCTTTCAGCTCTTGATGGTATAAATCTATGTTCTTACTCTGGTCTGTGCAAAAGATGTTTGCCTGAAATACCTGTGCATTGCCTTTCCTGGTGCCATTGTTTCTTTTTCAAGCTGGATAATTTGCAGCAGTCTCTCATCTCAATGCGTGAAACTCCCAGAAAAATGCTATTAAAAAAATTCAACAGTTTCTTCAAACCCGACTTGAGTTTGAGTGACTTTTGAGGAAATGTTAATTTTGGCTCAGACTACTTTATCTCACATTGTTTTCATTAGCTTGGCTCAACGTGGTAAGTCAGCATTTTCTCCTTTTAAAATCGAGTCAGAGTTACACAGCACAAAAACAGACTCTTCAGTCCATCTTGTCCGCAACAACCAGACATCCCAATCTAACCTTGTCCCATTTGTCAGCATTTAACTCATATCCCTCAAAATGCCTCCCATTCATAAACTCATCCAGATTCCTTTTAAATGTTGTAATTGTACCAGCCTCCACCACTTCCTCTACTAGCTCTTTCTATACACCACCCTCTGCATGAAAAATAATTAGACCGTGAGAGGTGCCAGGTATTAAAATCCAATGACAGAAGTTGAAAATTGACAGTCCATATTTAACTAACCACTGCTGTGACAACATCAAGACCCCAAACTTATATTGCCACCTTCAGTGAGGCCCACCTTGCTGAGGTGAGCTAGCAGATGGAACCAGCAGGGAGACAGACTTTCAACCAGAGGGGCTGACAGTGGCCCTCACATCCATGTCGTTGATTTTGTCATCCATAATAGGGTGTTGGATCCAATGCTAAAACTTCCTAATTGTTAAAATGAAATACACATAACACTTCAGTTATAGCTCAGCCATAACCACTATGCCTCTCTCAGGATTTATGTTCTGATTGTTGACTCAGATGAAGATGTTAAGGAAAGGTTATATTCTTACCTCGATAAAGTCCTCAATGTCATCCAAAGGAAAAAATCCTTCTTCTGGAGAATTTTAATACCAGGACTGTCCACGACTGATGTCAAGAGAGGAATCGTTGGGAGAAATGGACTGTGAAAAACCAATGCAAAGTGTCCACCTGCCGAACAACCAGTCTCAGTGTAGTCCCATTGCAACAAAGGTCCTCTTTCACCAGAAGAGGAACACAAAAACATAGGGAGCCATCCTAGATCAAAGTTCTGCTACCTCTTCGATTATGTCATTGTTTGAGTCAAAGATCTAAATGCCGTCTATATCATTCAATTCAGGCAGAGGACTGATTCCTGCTGGGCAGAACATCAACTTGTTTAATTGATAGTGAATATCCACCAACAAATGCAAGACCCAAAAATCCAAGAGGAAGAAAATCAATGTGTCGGCCTTAAAACAGCAGCTCACAACCAATCTGGAAAATCTTCACACTTCCAATTCCATTCCAGAAGAATGGGATCAATCAAAATCAGCAGTACTAGACTTTTGAGACCAGACCATTGTGTTGGAGCACTGCTGTCACCAAGAAAGGTTCAACAAAAAAATAGCAGAAATATGTTGCCCCTAGAACAAAATGGAATAAACCTTCATTGTTTTAGGAGAATAACCCAAGGTTCCAAGATACAAAGACAGCAATCTAACAACTCAAGGCTGACATTCAAAGATGAATCCACCAGCTATCGGGAATTTTTATTATTCATTAATGGAATGAGGGCATCGCTGACCAGGCAGCATTTATTGCCCATCCCTAATTGCCTAGAGGACAGTTCAGAATCAACCACATTGCTGTGGGTCTGGAGTCACACGTAGGCCAGACCAGGTAAGCATGGCAGTTTCCTTCCCTAAAGGACATCAGTGAACCAGATGGGTTTTTCCTGACAATCAACAATGGATTCATGGTCATCATTAGATTCTTAATTTCAAATATTTTATTGAGTTCAAATTCCACCATCTGCCATGGTAGGATTCAAACCTAGGTCCCCAGAACATTATCTGGGTCTCTGGATTAACAGTCCAGCAATAATACCACTAGGCCAATACCTCCCCGATGGGTACATGGTGGGAAGAGAATGCTTCAGAAATTTATCAATATCCTGATCGTCATGACTGGCAGAGTTTTTTGAAATTACCAGTGTGATCTTTAGTCCAAGATCAAATGGACAAAAATCGCCCTCACCCACAGGACACCACATTAATACTGGATTAAAGAGTTTTAACAAATCAAATGTGAATCCAAAGCCTCTCCAGGCTACCCCCCATTAGCTATGATGAAGTCTATATGTAAATCACCACTGATGGGAAACATGCAACAATCCTATGGATGAAAAGCAACAGAGCCTGTGGCCCCAATGGTATTCCAGCTGAGGTGTTCAAAAGTTTGTGTGTTTTTGTTTACATCAAGACTCCATTTGCTCACCCTATGGATTTGAGAGAGAAAGGAAGAGCTCTGGCTTGAAGAATGTGCCATTTATAACTACTTCATGAAAGGAGATAAATCATGCTGAGAAACAATTGAGATAGCTCCCTCTTGTCCACAGCAGGAAAATCCTGATTGGCATTCTCCTTATTGCCAAATTCCTGTGACTGAGGAAATCCTTCCAGATGTATTGAAGCTTTAGACCTTATAAAGGTATCGCTGAGATGGTTTTTATGCAAGATAAATCTAAGGTAAATGTTAAGAACATTAGGAACTCTTGATTGCATTCATCAACCTGATCAAAGCATTTCACTAAACGACGGTCTCTGAACTCTGCTCTCAGAGTTATGTCCATTATAACTCTAACCACTGCACGATATGACGTGACTGCAACTGTTTTGAGCGGGAAATCTGAAATAAATGCCTTCAAAATCCAGGCCCACTGTCAAGCAAGGTTGTGTCAGCTACCCTTTGGTGTAAATATTAAAATCTACCTATATGGAACCTCTAAATTTCTATGTGGGTTTCGGAGGTCCAGGAGCTAGAAGTCATTACTGCAATCAGCATATGCGGAACCTTGAAACACCCTGCAGCCACACAGATTAGCAGGAATGTTTAATGGAACATGCTATAACCTCAGGTCACCACCTTGTCAAACCTAAACTGCATCACAGACATAGAGGAGCTATGGTTTGCAGGTGACTGCAGTGCCGGTGCCCATTCTGCAAGTCATTCTTGATTTCTTCATGTCAACCAAATATTCCACCTCTCACATACATTGAAAGAGGGACTCTGGAATGTTGTCAGCACTTTTCATAACTTGACAGCCACTTCTTTCAAAACTCTACCTTTGAGGAGCAGATCCAATGTTGGATTCAAGTGCACCAGATCTGCCTTTTGCAAACTATGGCACTGTTTGACAGCAAAGACCTCCAGAAGTCGACAAAAGTCTTAGTGAGCATCACCACACTCCTATACAATAGTGAGACCTTGACTGTGTATCAGCAACAGACAAGAGCAATGAAGAAATTTAATTGCAATGCCCTTCATCACATCTTCCAGAGAAACACTGCCTTAAAGCTTGGCAACTTTGATATCAATGACTTGAAGGAGCTTGCTACCAATTATTGAACATGGTGACAACATGACCATAAATCTACATCATGCTTTGAGTAATAATGTCTTAACAATGAGGTAGGGCAGTGGCAGAGTAGAAAAGCAAAGGAAGCAAATCTGGCACATCTGATCCAACAATCTCATGGGAGGTTCTGCCCCACGTACTCAAAGGTCAGTCTATCAGGAATTGATCTGTTCAGTTATATGAAGACTGAGCATTCCATTTTATGGAAACCCCATCCACAAACTTAGATATTCACTCCTTCAACTACTGCCATACAGTAGCAGTGAGATGTATTGTACAGATGACACCACAAAAGGCTCCTTCAGCATCATTTTCTAAACCGATAACATGTAACAAATGGCTGTCCTTCGATTTGAGGATAACGTTAACTCAGGGTTACATGTTTCTGCTATGAACCTTCATTATGTCCGAACAGATAATTCTTGATTCATTTTCTCTTCTTAATAAAGTTCAGGATAGTTCAGGGAAAACAGTCACCTCAGTAGAAAAGTTTAATTTGTGCAGATTCCAAACTTTGGAGGGTTTGGTTATAAAAAATTTAAGTTATTAGAAGCTGAAAATTTAAACTGTCAGTTTCGTGAGTTTGCAAGAAAATACCACAGTTCGCAGGAAAGAAATTGGGGAAAATCAGTTAAATAGAACTTAAAGCTTTGATACTGAGGGGTAATTTCTCTGGACTTGTAGAAGGCATAAATTTGAACTCAATGAAAAAGAAATTTAGAAAAGATTTATAGGGTACCAATTCGCTATATGCCATTTTGCTTTACAGGAATGGGGTAATTTCACCTCTACAGTCTTTTCCCAGAATATCTGTACTTGCTAAACGAATACAATGAGTTTATCACCTTTCACACAATGTGTAACTTCTATTATTTAAACAAACTGCTATAATACAATATAACATAATTTTCCTTCGGAACAAGGTTGCTTTAGCAGCCCATTGCCCAATTAAGCAACGACAGAGATTATACACCATCAAAATCTCAACCAAATGTGCTACCCAGTAAGCCCCAACATCCTGCTTCTCAGACTTGCAAAAGGAATTACCTCAGCTCAATGCATAGTGCTACAAAAATGTTCAAATTGTACAAAATCCTCAAGTGTACAAACATGCAAGTAAGCAAAACACCACAATCCAACGAAGTACGCCAACTTCAATTTAGTAAAAATTAAATTCTAAATAGAAAACGTAATGCAAACAAACTGATATGACATGACATGTGTCTTAGAAAATTTCTAACAATATCAGTGAAACTTTAATCACTAAGTATTCCTAGAGTCAGATATTTACAGTGAGATAATGATTTTCGGTTTAAAACCTACCTTCTGCACAATATCCCATGCATCCTTGTGTGGGCTGGAGAAGGTACAGAAAAAAGTCACCACAGTTTCGCACACTGACTGGAATTCGGAAAAGACAGCAGTCCTTTGTTGTACTGAAGAAAAACTGCCATGTTGCACAGGCAGTCAAATGCTTAACCTCTCCAGCTTGGGGCAGGGATTCCGTCTCTTGCAAAGACAACCAAACTGGAGCTTGGGTACCACAGTGATTCATCTAAAGAGGGCAATATGAAAGATTAAAGAGATGACATGAAACTGAAAGAAAAGGAAATACAGAATTGTTACAGCTTTCTGCAAATGAAATGAGACTAGGATTTGAATTTAACTTGTGGGATTCTGCTTCATTCGCGCAGTTAAATCACAGGATTGTAATGATGCAAGAGATGATTCAGCCTGTCGTGTCTCACTGTTCTGAGCATTTTGATTCAATGCCAAACTCCTACCTTTTCCCTGTAAACTTGTATATTGTTTAAATAGAAACAATCATGCGATGCCTGCTTGAATGCCTCCACTGAACCCAACTTTATAGATTCAATGTAACCTTGCTGCTCTTTTACTTTATGCCACTAGAAAATTGAAAGCTGTTTTAGCAACCTGTCCTGTCATCTTTAGACTTATGCACGTATATACCCAGGTCTCTATGCTCCTGCACACCCTCTAAAATTATTCTTATGTTTGATACTCTGTCACCATGTTGTTTGACCTCACACTTCTCTGCACTGTCTTAATTTGCCACCCCGTCCATCAACCTGTCAATGTCTTTTTAAAGTTCTACACTGTCCTCCTCAGTTTACAATTCTCCGAAGTTTGGCATTGTCTGCAAGTTGGAAATTATTCCCCAAGTATACACAGATCTTGCTCTTTAAAAGCACGGGTTCTGAATAACTCCACTATAAATCTTCCTCCAGCCCAGTAACCATTACTCTTGGTTTTTATCACTCAGCTAACTTTGTTATCACATTACTCCTATCCTTTTCATTCCATAATCTATCACTTTCCTTACAAGTCTGTCATGTGGCACTGTATTGATGGCCTTTGAAAGTCCATATACACCAGATCACCAACAGGGCCCTCAAACTGTTTTTACCTCGTCAAGTAACTCCAGGAAATTAGTTAGATATAATTTCCTGTAACAAATCTATGCTGAATCTTCCCAATAAATCCACTTTTTCCCATCTGACAATTAATTCTACACCAAATTGTTTCTATGAAAATTAACTTGTCTGTCAGGTTTTGGTCATGAACACTTGCTGTTATAGATGCTTGTCTTCTTGATCAAATAATGGACCTTGTCCTCTATAGTGTATTTTTTCCAACATTCCTTAAAGGATCTAACTGAAGACCATGCACATTCATCACTATCATACTATCAATTCATCAGCTTCATAGTAAATTATGGTATTCATAGAATTTAACTTAGTGAAAATACTCTAGCTAAATGTGTTTTTAGATACAGCTTTGATTTGCTCATTAAATGTTTACTTTTCAGCAGGCCTATGTTTTACAATTTCAAAAGTGAGTAACAAAATTTCAGACCCAATCTTCTGATGGTGAAACATTTTAAAGAATGATAAGATCAATTGGTTATGATTATAAAGATGTTATAAAAGCTTTAAACACGAGTAATATTCTTAATAGTTGGCCCAAAGAACAACACTGACTTTTTTTGAAGTAAAACACACTGACTTACTAAGTGCTTTGGTCCTGAAAAAGTACAATGTAAAGATGTTCTAATTTGTTTTAAGTTAAGAAGATAACAAAATTCTGTAGGACAATGCTATTTTGGAAAAAAACCTTCAGTAAAAAGATTTTTTTTTTAATCTCAAGAACTGAGAATTGTGACTCATTGTGTACAGCACTAAAGGTAAGAAAATAGTTTATGTCTTTCAGTTCATCTTTCTTCTGATGAAATACTGTTAACTTTCTACAGGGTCAAAAGGCTAGCATTCCTTTCCTGAGCTCATGGATACTAAAGCCACTCTTTATATGTTGCACTGCTACATCTAATACAATTAGGTAACGAATATAAAACGATTGAAAATGAGGCCTTCAGGTGTTCTATGAGTCAGAACTTATTGAGGATCATCTTAATTCTTGATTTTTTTTGTCAAGTTTCTTTTCTAAACTTAGCACTGATAAGACTTCAAATATTTAATATTGAATATTGTTGAAAAGAAAGACATGTTGCCAAAACTTTTAATTTTTCACACATCAGGAAAAATGCAAAAGTTCAAATTTTTAAACACGTCTCAACAGTTTACATTATGGAATAAAAAGGTGCTGAGTTGTTAATAATTTGACACTGATAGGCAGAGGCATCATTACGGAGAAAGCAAGATGGACTATTGCCTCGCCGATATTTTATAGTAGTTACTAGGCTTGAACATAATTGTTTTGCTGACAAAGAATAGGTCCTTGCATATGAATGCATGTCATTTCTAGCGAGGAAAAGGTAATCAGGTTTGAAATTGACCAATTATCTTAAGTTGGTCATTACTGTGGCTATTCATGCACTCAGGATTGATCAGCAAGTGCTGTGTAATTGTGGAACCACACAGACATTTTGTTTTGGGTTTCGCAAATGTGGTCTGGTTGAGTACAGTCCGTACTTTACCTATTATAAACAACCAAAGGCTGTTTGATGTTTGATGTTTGATGTTTGATTTGACGGCCACTTATTGGGGTACGTATTCTACGTATCAGGCATCGCAGGGGCACTGAAATTCACAAACAAGATTGCTCAAATGTGTAGTGGGCAGAACATCTTTTTGGACTGACAGCAGCATCCTACGTGGAAAGAATCACTCTCATAATCACTGCATAATGGTGGCATAAAACAGCTTGCTTAATCGGATGATCAGTTGAGTTCATAACAGTGCTATTTTAAATTTGCTTAAAGTGTCATAGATTTATGAGCAGGAACCCAACCAAAAAAAAATGCTCAGTCTTGCATCTTTTCTTGTATTAATCAGGAGTTTAATGTTCCCCATTGCTTTCTCCATGGTAACATTAACAAATGAACGTCGATGTGTCAACCACTCAGCATCTTTTTTTTTGTGTAGCTGAGATTGTTATAACCATTTGAAAGACAGGGTTCTTGTGTTTGTCCCTATGGATGGAGTATGAGAAATTTCAGCAATGTGTCCCTTTTTCAGCAATATTTAGTTTCTCTCCTAACAATGGGTTTCTTATATTTCATGATATACCTTTCCATCCAATAGAACAGTATAGTTCAAAATGAACAATGGGCTGAATCAGATGTTTTTTGGGCTAAGTTTGGGTTGCCTTGAGTTATTCTATAGAGGGATTTCTGCTATGAAGCCTAGCAAGCTTTCTCACGGTGTCTTACTAAATTCACCTCAATAATTACCTAACATGCTCCTACAACATTCTTCACGTCCAGTTCTGGACTCATCTTATCACATGTAGTTCCCAGAAGAACTCGTCACTCAACAGTTATATCCTGGAATTCACCAGAATTCCTAATGCCCACTCTATCTTTAAATGGCCATTGCAAATCTGGACAGGCATTAATCAATCCAGAGCTGCCCTGCATGTACCTGACATTTGCCTAGACGTGGCAGACAGGTGAATATTGGTGCCCCACTGTGCTGACATGGTCCTAGAGGTCCTGCTGGATGGGGTGGTGCAGACACAGGATTCCCTTTTTCCCCAACACCAGCAGCACAGATCACATTAACAGGCCTTGCCAGCCTTTCCCAAGATGGCCACTCAGCTTAAAGCCATCTCAGCCATTTGAGGGCACATGTAGTGATGGAGAAAACAGATAAATGATTTTCTCCACTCTGCCAGTGTAAGTGCCTCCATATTCTCTCCAATACCTACCACTGTACTCTTGTACCCATCTCCCACTGAGGCTCATGCTTTACCACTCTGGCTAATGCCTGCTGCATCTTCCCTCATTTGCTCTTACTCACCCAACAGCACTAACCCTGCATGCGCTCTGTGCGACCTGCAAGCTCACTCAGGACAACTCCCCACCTGCACTAACAGTAATAGCTTTGCCACCCACTTTCCTCTCTCTTAATATCTGCCTCTCATTCCAGGAGGTAAACAACATCACAATAGAGTAGGAAGAGCTAGGATGAGCCTGACATTCAGCTTCCCACCCATTATGAGGTGAGTACTTGAGCTCTGACCTTTTTGAGCAGCTGACTGTGTCCAAGCTCTTGGACTGATGTCAGTGTCTGTGTTTGACGTATTGTGCTGGGACCCCTGGAGCAAATGCTATCTCCTTTGACTGCCAGTACAGTCTGAGGTATAGCACTGAAGTGCACAAACATTCTGTCAAAGAATCAGACATGTGCCATGAGGGTTCTTAACAGGATGGTATATATTGGATGCTAATGTCTACAAATGTGCCCAGTGCCCATAGAATGTGCCCAGTCTTCATCACAGTGGTCATTCAGAGCAAGTGGTCAGTTGAATTAGCTAAGAACCTACTCTGGCTTTCATGTTGAATTTTCTCAACATCCATATATTTAAAAACTTGAGTAAGATTATTGGAGTAATAACAACGGCAAGTTGAGCTATCAAAAAGTCAACCAACAAGTAATAATCCCCGTTTAATGGCTTGCAAAAATTAAAGGTGGAGCAAAATGCTCCCGACATGGAGATCAGCCTCATCAGACTCCCTATCCAACACCATCATAAAGCTTGCCATAGCCAACATAACTTGGACCCCTTTAAGATTCTGCCCATTGTTTCTATGCCATCAAATTGATTATTGATTTATCTCCGTTATTCATAGTGTGCCATGGTATGACCAATTTGAAACAATATTTACCTCCACACATTTTGTCGGCATTTCTGCAGGTTTATCGAAGATCTGAAAACGATACCATCCTGGTGTTAAAGAATGATCACATATTAGCTCTTGAATTGCTGACTGTTGAAGTCGGAGCGAATCAAAGTCCACACTTCTATAGGGATTCTGAAGAAGCTGGTGACCACCAGGGTAGCACTCTGGGGCTGTAAGACAACAGAAAAGGAATCGTTTTATCACATTAATTCCAACAATTAACTAGGTTATGATCTGTCGATTACATAGGCAGCAATATTGATTTGGAAAGGTACATATTGATAAAGACACTGTTAGCTGAAGTTGACCCATATTCTGCAGAGCGGCTTTTAGAGCTCCTGATATTTTTCATTAACAGGGCATTGCTTCTGCAACTTCTATTGTTGACCAAAATATTTCTGTTTCATTATAAAGTTGCAGTTGACTTCTGCAAGGTAAGCTCATATCACTCTTTTGAAACCAAACGTATCAAATCTCAATCTTGACTTAGTTGCAAAGCATGTTTTACTCCATGAAAAGCCTTGTTACACTTTACAGCCCTTAGTCCATAGCCCTGTATGTTAATGACAGTTCAAGTAGGAATCAAAGCTTTTTTCCTAAACATTACATGGGTTTCTGTCTTGGTCTCTATCACCCCCTCATCCACCTTATTCTGGACGAAAAATTACTCCAACAACTCTCTTCTAGGCCTTCCGTCAAATATTTTAAATCTACACCCCTTCATTATTAACCTCCCCTTGAGAAAAAACATATCCTTCTTTTACACTGTTTCTAGGTCCATGCTAAGTTTATGCACTTCAATTAAATGTACCCTCATCCTTTACTATTCCAAAGAAGCAATCCCAGTCAATATAAATTTTTACACATAGCTAAAATTCTCCATTCTTGACAAAATCCCCATGAAACTCTTCTATACCTCTGTTACATTCTTCCTTTAATACATTAACCAGAAGAAGTGTATGCAGTACTCTATCTGCACTCTAACAAGCATTTTATACAAGATCAGATTCCAACAGGTTTATTTGAAAACATTGGCTCCTTCATCAAGTCTAGGGAGAGAGACATCAAGACACAGAATTTATGAGTATAAGATCAAAAGATCATACAATTTATGGGGAATATATGGAGTAAACCTAAAATGGCTGGCTGACTCCTTCCTGTTAAATCTTCAGTTAGAAAGGAGATGCAGGTTTTGGTTGATTAATATGCAAATCCCAGAATTTCTATCAAGTCACTGCCCCAAGATAACTAAAGGTTTGAATACTGTATACAAGAGATGAAATCTCAGGCCAGACAATGCATTTTAGGTGTGAGGCCTTGTTTAGAATCCAGTACTTGTAGTTCAGTACTTCCCGGGAGCAGAGAAACTATGCCATTTTTTCTTTGCAGCCTTCAACACATTATAAATGATGATGAACACCTTGCCAAGATCTTCACTACACCTCCACTTCTCACCAAACAACCCGACAAACCTTAAACAGACCATCAATCGAAGCAAACTACCCAGCCTTCATGACAACATTGACCCAACACCACACAATCCTACCATGGCAACCTCTGCAAGACATGTCAGATCATTGACATGGATACTACCATCACACGTGGGAACACCATCCACCACGTGCATCGCAGATACTCATTGTCTATCTAATACGCTGCAGGCATGGATGCCCCTTGGCATGGTACATTGGTGAGACCACGCAGATGCTACGACAACGGATGAATGGACACCACGCAACAATCATCAGACAGGAATGTCCTCTCCTAGTGGGGGAACACTTCAGTGGCCAAGGACATTCGGCCTTGGATCTTTTGGTAAACGCCCTCCAAGGTGGACTTTAGGATACACAACAAATGCAAAGACACCGAGCAGAGGCCGATAGCCACGTTCAGTACTCCTGAGGGTGGCCTCAACCATGATCTTGGATTCATATTGCACTATACCACACTATGCACTCAAACGCACATATACACACACATACACTCTCTCTTCCAGTCACACATAGACACACTCTCTCTTGCGTGCGAACACACACACACACACACACACACACCTCCACCCCACCACCCCATCCCCCCACGGGATGAATTTGTATTTACGGATACATTCTATTTTGTTCAAAAAGCACACAATTTGTAAACACAGTCAGTCAATGGGGCATTTTATAAATTCTTGCCTTGGAAATAAAATCAGTCTGACTCCAGGTTACTACACAGACAGATTCTAAACAACACCTCACACCAAAAATGCATTGTCTGGCCTGAGATGTCACCTCTTGTATACAATATTAAGACCTTTAGTTATCTCGGGGCAGTGACTTGAAAGAAATTCTGAGATTTGCATTTTAATCAATCGAAACCTGTGTCTCCTTTATAACTGATTGCTTCCTGTTAAATCTTCAGTCAGTCAGCCATTTTAGGTTTATTCAATACATTCATCATCAATTGTATGATCTTTTGATCTTTGACTTATAAATTCTGTGTCTTCATACCTCTCTCACTAACCTGATGAAGGAGCAATGCTCTGAAAGCTAGTATTTTCAAATAAACCGGTTGGCCTATAACCTGGGTGTCGTGTTATTTTTAACCTTGTCCAACTCAGTCCAATACCGGCACCTCCACATTGTGTTTTATACAGTTCTAACATTATTTTCCTGCTCTTCTAATTCCATGTCTTAGGCAATAAAAGGAAATATTCCAAATGCCTTTTTAACCACCTTCGTTAATCTCCTGCTACCTTCTCAGGGATCTTTGGACATGCACTCCCAAGATCCCTTTGTTCCTTTACATTTTTCGGTATCCTATCATTTATTCCGTTGCGTTATTTAACTTTTCCCAAATGGATTACCTCTCACGGATTTGGACTGGAATTCCATTTGTTATTTTCTGACTATCCAAGCAGTCTACGGCTGTCTACGGCTTTCTTCTTCATGTTTGAACATGAGATATTTTTCATTTCATCTACAAAACTCTTAACCATACTTCTTACATTTAAGTTTAAAACAATGACATGTACCCAAACAGCAAGGGAGTCAGTACTGAACTCAGAGGAACCACGCTAGAAGCCTTACAATTACAAATTCACATTTTTTCTTCCCACCATTGAATTAAATTTTGCCACTTTGCCTTATACCCGATAAATTTTAATTCCCTGCGAAGTCTAACATAGGGAATGTCATCAAATATCTTGATAAACTCCACATAGATTATATCAATCCTCCTTGTAACCTACTCAAAATAAATCAATCAAGTTAGTCAGACACAACCTTCCTTTATTAAATCTGTGCTGATTGTCCTTGATTAATCCATAAGGATTTACATTGTGTATTGGAATTTTTGCTATTAACTTGTCTGTAATTGATTTTAATCAAATAGCCTAATTTCTCAGGCTATCCTTCTCTTTTTTGTTTTTGGAAAATAGTAAAACATAGCAGTCTTTCAGCCCTTTAACTTTGCACCTGTAACTGGGAAGGACTTGAAAATGATGGTCACAGCATTTGATATTTCTTCCTTTATTTTACTTAGCAGACTGGCTACATTTCTTACAGCCTGGAGATCTGTTCACTTTCAATGATGCTAAAGCATTTTAATATTTCCTTTTGTAATAGGTTTAGCCTATCCTTCACCCTTAACTACAATGTCCGTTCTGAAAATAGTTGCTCAACATTCATTCCGAATAGATGTCCACGTCTTGAGCCCGAATCCACAAGTTAGCTTTTTAGTGTAAACTTGCTTGGTCTTGATGTATTTACAAAACAGCTCTGGGTTTTTCTTCTTTTGATTGCTGATATTTTTCATGACCTCTTTTATTTTCCCATTTTCCTTTTTTAATTTCGTCCTGGCATTTTCTATGCTTTCTAAGTTTTTTGGTGTGATTAAACTCTTTACATCTGACACAACATCCCCACTTCAAACCTTATGATGGAGGGAAGGTCACTGATGATGCAACTGAAGATGGTTTGGCCCAGGACACTACCCTGAGAAACTCCTGCTGAGATGTCCTGGAATTGAGATGACTGACTTCCAGCAACTACAACTGTCTTCCTACGTGCTAGGTATGACCGCAATCAGGGGAGAGTTTGTCCCCTGATATGCATTGATTCATGTTTTGCTAGAGTTCCCGGATGCCATTCTCAGTTGAATGCAGCCTTGATGTTCAGGGCTTTTATTCTTATCTCACCTCTGGAACTCATTTCTTGTGGTTGTGTTTGAATCAAGGCTATAAATAAGGGAGCCGAGTGGCCCTGGCGGAACCCAAACTGGGCATCACTCAGCAGGTTATTGCTGAGCAGATGCTGCACGGTAGCACTATTGATGACACCTTCTATCAATAGTGATGATTGACAGTAGACCGATGGTGGTTGGCCAGGAAGGCAGTAAGCTCTGAAACACAAGTCTTCAGTAGTATTGCCGGAATGTTGTCAGGGCCCATAGCCTTTGCACTATGCAGTGCCTCTAGCCATTCTTGATATCACGTGGAGGGAATTGAATTGACTGACGACTGTTATCTGTGATGCTCAGGATCACTGGAGGAGGCCAAGATAGATCATCTTTGGCTGAAAATTGCTGCAAATGCTTCAGCATTTATCTTTTGGACTGATGTGCTGAGCTCTTCCATCATTGATGACAGGGATATTTGTGGAGTGTCCTTCTCCAGTGAGTTGCTTAATTGTCCACCACCATTCAAAACTGGATGTGGCAGGACAGTAGAGATTAGATCTGATTCGTTGGTTGTGACATAAATTAGCTCTGTCTATCACTTGCTACTTTTGTTTAGCATGCAAGAAATCCTATTTGGTAGCTTCACGAGGTTGACCCCTCACTTTAAAGTATGCCTGATTCTGCTCCTGGCATGCTCTCCTACACTCTCCATTGAACCAGGGTTGATCCCCTGGCTTGATGATAATGGTTGAGTGGGGAATATGGCGGGCCATAGAAGTTACAGATTGTGCTAGAATATGATTTTGCTGCTGTTGATGGCCCACAGCACCTCACGGATGCCAGTCTTGAGTTGCTAGATCTGTTCAAAGTCTGTCCCATTTAGCATGGTGATAGTACCACACATGCAACTCAAGGATGTTATTCTCAATAAGGTGAAATTTAGCCCCACAAAGCCTGTGCAGTGGTCACTCTTGCTGATACTGTCTTGGACAAATACATCTGCAGCTAG